AAATATTCTGCAAGGGTATATCAACTTCGGCTCCGCCCGAAGTTAGCTTTCCTTTCTTTTATTATAACTTGGTTTTTCTTCTATTAGAACACTGATATATAGAACTAATGTGACACAAAAAATTGGAGCTGTGAAATAAAAACTTTTCTTAATTTTGGTTTAAATTCTTGGTTGAAGTCTTGTGGCTTAAGTCTATGAGCACCACTGTATGTATATGCTTACATACATACACACATACGCCATTGTTTGACTCAGACCTCAAATTTGGCTAACTAGATTTGATTTGCATAGTTCTTGGGATATATGTAGTTCGGTATTGACAAATGAAAACCATCGCAATTTCCTTTAATAGAAATCCTTATCGAGAATTAACGTTGACTCTGTTGAGCACCTTGGCCAGCTGTTCCAAAGTCATCCGTTAGATGGCGCCATGAAAGGCGGAAATGTAGGCGCTAGCCTGGCTTAAGCGTTTAATGGGTTTTTGGGCGTTAGAGTGGGCGTGGCAAACTTTTATTAGGCCAATCGATATTTATTGACGAAACAAATACATATCAATTAAAATTTTCATAATATCATCAAAACTGTGACCACAGCTTGTGGCTTATGGGCGTCAGAAGGGGCGTGGCACCATTTTGAAACAAACTTGCGCTGCGTAGGAACTCCTAAAATCTACATGCAAAATGCCAATCTTCTAGCTTTTATAGTTTCCGAGATCTCATACGGACAGACAGACGGACAGACCGACAGACGGACAGACAGACGGACAGACAGACGGACAGACGGACATGGCTAGTTCGACTCGGCTAGTGATCCTGAACAAGAATATATATAGTTTATAGGGTCGGAAACGCTTCCTTCTACCTGTTACATACTTTTGCACGAATACAATATACCCTTTTACTCTACGAGTAACGGGTATAATGATGGAGTAAGTTATTTACCTGTTGGGGGAGATGTGCCGGTCGTAGACCGCCTGGCAGTGCTTCCGGCCGCTAACGATGGGTGGTGCCTCCCTCGCGACACTAGGGGCACCACAGGAAGGGTGGGTGCGCTGTGGCAGCCACATCCAATGCCACTTTTCCGTCGTATTTGTCCCGATTTGTTTATTTGCGGTTTTGTTTACGTTTTGGTTATTAGAGATGGTAGTATTTGTAGAGTGAGACGTCGATAGTAATCGATGTTTAATTTTGTGGAAGCTGTAGGGACATTGGGGGTACTCCGCCCTGAGGATTCCGGAGCTAGCCGGGGCCGTCCCAGGACGATGCAGTTCCGTAACAGAACTCATTGCCGAATTGCTAGCATCAGGTGCTAAAGTTGAAGAAATGGACAAGATTTCGCATTTACTGCTAGCACTGTCATCTTCGTATGACGGCGTTATAACGGAAATAGAAACTTTAGCAGAAAATAATTTAACCTTGGCCTTTGTAAAAAATCGTCTATTGGATCATGAGATCAAGCTAAAAAATTGTAGCAAAGATAACAGTCTAAAGGTTATGCAGGCTGTAAAAAGGGACAGTAAGCCTCAATTTTCTTATAAGAGAAATAGCAAATTTGCAACAAATAAGTCTCAAAATTCCAGAAAAAATGTTTTCATTGCGGCAAGACTGGTCACTTTAAAAAAGATAGCTTTGCTCTAAAAAGAGAAAAGGAGAAACATGGAAATGGCAAACAGGCGCAGATGACATCCACACAAAGTCAAGGAAATCATAATGGGATCGCATTTATGATGAGACGCGCAAATAGCCAACCAAACAATGGGTTCTTATTGGATTCTGGCGCATCAGACCATTTGGCCCACAATGGGAGTTTATTTACAGCTATCACTGAATTAGATGAACTTATTAGAATTTCTGTTGCGAAGAACGATGTATTCATTTATGCAGTTAAGAAAGGAACAGTGAAGCTGTACACAAATTCAAATGAGAAAATTGAGCTTAAAGTCTCCTGATATCCCCGAAAACTTGATCTCAGTTAAAAAAATGCAGAAGGCAGGCCTTACCATTCTATTTCACCCAGGAGGTGTAACTGTTAGAAAAGGTAAAATAATTGTAATGCATGGAAGTATATTTGGAAATGTTCCATTGGTTCATTTATTTTCTAATAAACTAGCTTGTATTGCAAATGCAATTAAAAATAATAATTAAAGTTTGTGGCATGAGAGGCTAGGTCATTTGCGTAAGGGAAAGTTTTTAGAAATTAAAACCAAAAATATGTTTAACGATACAGATCTGCTGAATAAAATAAAACCAGAAAATGAGTTATGTGAAGCTTGTGTCAAGGGAAAGCAGGCGATATTAAGTTTTAATAAATTTAAAAACAAGAACCACATAAATCGACCATTATTTGTTGTACATTCTGATGTGTGGTCCAATAACCCCATCTACTGTTGATCATAAGAATTATTATGTAGTTTTTATTGATGAGTATACGCATTATTGTGTAACTTAACTGTTGAGTTATAAGTCGGAAGTTTTTAGTGTATTTCAAGACTATGTAGCTAAAACGCATGCTTTGTTTAATTTAAATATGGTTAACCTTTATATTGATAATGGTAGGGAGTATCTATCGAATGAAATGAAAGAATTCAAAAAGGCATTAGTTACCACTTGACGGTTCCACATACTCCACAACAAAATGGTGTATCCGAAAGGATGATTAGATCTATAACGGAAAAAGCTCGAGCTTTAGTTATAGGGGGCAAGGTTCAGAAAACTTTCTGGGGTGAACCAGTACTAACAGCCACCTACTTTATTAATAGAAGCCCAACTAGTGCATTACATGAATACAGAAAGACACCTTTTGAAATGTGATACAACAAAAAGCCGTTCCTTAAGTACTTAAGAGTTTTTGGTTCGACAGTATACGTTCTCAATAAAACGAGAAAAAGAAAATTTAATGACTAATCATGGAAAGGTATACTTGTCGGGTATGAACCAAATGGATATAAAGTATGGGATGTGGAGAATAACAAATTTGTTATTGCAAGAGATGTAGTGTTTGATGAATCAAACAGGATAATGTCTAGAGCTGAGGATGTTGATAACAACATAGATTTTCACAATCTTGAAGAAAATATTGAACCTGCTTTTCAAGACTCTGGTCTTATTGAGAGTGAAAGGGTTCAGAAAAACACTGATCTGGTAGTATCAGATGTGCAGCCTAGTGAATTGGAAAATGAAGTGGAAAAGGCCGATCCAGAGATATCTGGTGTAACGACCTGTTTCTTTATTTTCTGCTCGCTATGTAAACGTGCGGCTAGCTCAGAGAGGTTGTGAGTTCGTTCCACCATATTTATATTGAGTGACTGGCCGTGACCAAAGGATAACGCCAGAAAGGAGTAGGTTGGTGCTGGTATATTGATTCTCTAAATATAGCCATATTGCTATTGTTCTGCTACCCGTTGTCGCTGTCTTCTGCTGCGTTGCTCCTGGCTCGCTGCTCCTGCTGCCCCGCTGCGTCGATCCTGGCTTACTGCTGCGTCGCTCCTGGCCTGCTACTGCGTTGCTTCGGCTTGCTTCTCCGGGTGACAGAGATTGGGACGGCTCCACCAAAAACCCTGGATGTTATGCGAGCTTCCCTACCGGGGCCGGCAAGGTGTATCGCCTAGCAGGTGAACCGATGTTTCGCCTTATCGCCTAGCCACCTTTATCGCCTGGCTTCCGGAGTTCAGCCTGGACTTTGTCGGCAAGGTGTATCGCCCAGCAGGTAGAACAAAGTTGTCCCTTATCGCCTAGCCACCTTTATCGCCTGACACCGCGCAAGGACTCCCTAAGTTTGATTTTACCACGACCTAGCACCGTTGGATCTCAGCGTTGTAGCCTCAGCCTTGTCGTTCGGCGTCTCGACTTTGCGATCTTGATCCTTGGGCACTTCGGTTTCGATTTGTACTTATTCCGCGTCACGCACTCGCTCTGATTCTCGCACTTGTACCGTCCCGAGCTGCGCTTGCGCCGTCCTTTTATAGGCGTTGTAGGTGCCGTCATTTCCCTCGCAGAGCTCGGGTCCAAGGTCCACTAAAGTACCGTTCATTATCGGTGTGTCCTCTTCATTCGGGTCCGAAGTCCGCCAATTTACCGTATGACCTCGTTGCCCTTACCCGGCGCGGGTCTAAGGTCCATCGAGGTACCGTTAATTCACGGTGTGTCCTCTTTAGGCGGGTCCGAAGTCCGCCAATTCACCGTATGACCTCGTTGCCCTTGCCATATGAGGGTCCAAGGTCCGAATGTTTCCCGTTTGACCTGGATGCCCTTCATTTCTCCGGCTTTCTCGCCTCCTCCGCTGTTGCTAGGCCGATCTCCTGCATCGGGATTTTTGGGGAGTTTAAGACTCCTCACATCTCCCCCTTCCTTCGGAAACGTAATGAAAGTGGTGACTTTCCCCGCCCTTGATGTTTAGACTACTCGAATTCCCCGCCTGACGATGTTCCCGCGTGTTAGATGTTCCCCAGACAGTTCCCCGAAAGACTTAACCTTTCCCCAGACCGGTTTTCATAAAAGTCTTTACTCGTACCGCTCCTTGAAAGAATTGAACTTTCCCGCGACTGTTTCCCTAAAAGACTCCTTGAAAGATTATTACCCCAGACTGTTTCCCTGTTCCTCAGACAGTTCCCCGTTCTCCAGACAGTTCATAGTTCCCAGACAGTTCCCAGTTCCCAGACAGTTCCCAGTTCCCCAGACAGTTTCCTGCGTGGAATTCGAATTCTCCCGCTCAGAAATTTCCCCAAACTGAAAGTCACCATTTAATTTTCTCTCGGTCCGGCAACTCCCTGGAATCTCACCACGATCGCGCTTATCGATTGTGGGCTCCAGTGTTGCCATCGTCGTTGCCTCTTCGTTGTCTTAAGTTGCCATTTGAATTTTCGAACATAGAAATAACCAATTTTGTTAACCCATCGATCGCAACTATCGATCGACCGGCTATCTCGGCGCCCCCGTCCCTATTGCCCATGTCCGGCAACCCATTGCTCCCAAATGTAAATAAACACAATAACTTTTAAACCTTCAAAGGCTTTTTGTTGGGCCTTCAGGACCCTCACCACCCCGCCCGACACTCGGATTCGGTAGCGGACGCCATCTGCTACGACCAGCTTGGACCAGCGGCTGCTCCGAGCCCTCTTCACCTGCTTGCCAGCCTCGGATGCCACCCTCGGCGGCCACCCTCCCTCGGCCACCTCCTCCCAGCGCCTGCTGTTCGCCGACTGCTGGCGACTCATAGACGGCCTTGCTGGAGGGGACCGAGGCTCCGGGCATGAAGATAGCCGGGCTAATTTCGGCGGCCGTGCGGCTGGCTCTCCTGGCGGCGGCCACACCCAGGGCCCGTTCTCCAGATCGGCGATGGCGTTAGCACCCACGGCGGCGGTGGAGGCGGTGGTGTTCCCGCTCCGTGCCGAGGTGCCTGAGATGGCCGTGGCGTTGCCTGCGGTAGCAACGGCGGTGGCGGTGGTGCTCCCTGCGGCGGCGACGGTGGTGGTGGCGGCTGCGACAGCGACAGCGGTGGCGGCGACTGCGGAGTCGACGGCGGTGGCGGTGCTTGCGGCGGCGGCTGCTCCGGAGGGCCCGGCTGTGCCCATATCGCCGCCTCTTCGGCCTCGGGCTCATCCAGCCGCTTCTGACACTCTCTGCCACCGCCCGCTGCGTGAATACTTTCCGCACCACGTCCGCCCGGGTTGCGAATATCCGCCTCACCTCCTCCGGGCGGCCCGATGGCGCTGCGTCGCCCAATCGGATCCGCCCGAATCCGTCCGCGGCCCTCCGCATCCTCCGGAATGCCATCCGGGCCTTCGCCGGCCGACGTGACTTGTCCTCCTCGTCTGAGGAGACCTCCGGACTCACCGTCTCCGTCCCGGTGTCCTCCTCCTCTTCCTCCGATGAGGCCAGGTCGATTGTTGGCACCTCGGCCTCCTGCCCTGCCGACCGGACGCCGGCCTCCTCCTCCTCCTCCAGCTCCACGTCGGTGATCCGACTCTCGTCCTCCGTTTCGGGGTTCGGCGACGACGACCGCGACACCAGGGGGACGCCAGCAGCTGGAGTGCGGAACCTGAGTCCCGCCTCCATCTCGCCGCTGGCTGTTGCCCACTGTTGCCTCCCCGCCCCTCTCCCCTCACGGCTGCTGTTGCTGCTTGCGTTCATGTTTGCGACCTGATTTGACTAGGCCCGTCTTGTGGCGCTCGCGCGCTGACGAAACCTCGGTTTCCGATGTTTCCTGATCCCGTTGTCCGCGGCGGCCTTTGGGCTCTCCCTTGCTACGGGGCTCCGACGGGTCCTATCTTTGGTGTGCGTTACCCTGTAACGGTATCTACATCCTATGACCCTCCCGCTCTCACGCTCCTATTGCATCTGTGTGAGTTCGATATTGTGTATCGTCCTCTCCCTCTCTTTGGATTTACAGTGCGCCCCCGCTAAGTCCGACTTTGATCCTCGGTTCTGGCCACCAATGCATAGTTGTTTTAATTGGCTAATGTGGGCGGTTTTTTCTTTGCCAGTATTTTCATGCCGCAAATTGCATATCACCGGCGAATTAAAATCCATTATCTTAAAAGGCCCGTCATATTTTGGTGCCAATTTTGCGGCGAATCCTTCTGCAGCCTTGGACAGATGGTGTTCCTTAGCCCAGGCTGTGTCACCGATGTTCGGTTTCCATGGGCGTCTACGTAGATTGTAATGGCGTGCCTGATCCTGCGCTGCCTTTTCCATATTTCGCCTCACCAGCTCAAAGATTTCTTTCAGCTTCTGTGCGTTCTCGGCCGGAGTTTGAATTTGCCTTCTTGTGCCGATTGTTCCTTCGTCGTACAGTGCGCTGGGTAACCTGGGCTCTCTTCCTTGCGTAATAAAGGCGGGCGAATATCCCGTGGATTCAGCCACGCTCGTATTCACGGCCAACTGCAGTTCCGGCCACTTTTCGTCCCAAGTCCTTTGGTCTGCCCCGGTGAACTGGGCGATCATCGTTTTCACCGTCCTGTTGGCTCTCTCCGTCGGGTTTTCCTAGGGCGTGTATGGGGCGTAAACTGGTGTCGGACGCCTAATTCACCCAGGAATTTTTTAAACGCCCTGCTGGTGAACTGAGCGCCATTGTCTGTAATTAGCACCTTGGGTACGCCGTATCTTGCGAGAATCCGCTCGCGGATCGCCTTTGCCAGAGATTCCGTCGTTGCCCTGCGCATTGGCACCATTTCGGTCCACTTGGAGAACCTATCTACCAGCACTAGCAGCATAGAATTCCCGTGTTTGGAGCGGGGCAGTGGTCCGACGAAATCTGCGCATACAGTGGCCCACGGCTCTTCCGGTACTTGGGTCAGCATTTTTCCGGCCGCCTGTAGTTGGCTTGGCTTATACCGTAGGCAGCTCTCGCAGTTTTGCACATATCTCCTTATGTCGCGGTGCATTCCCGGCCAATGGTATCTTGCTGCGACTCTGGCAATTGTCTTCCGACTGCTCATGTGGCCAGCTGTCGGTGAGTTGTGGTTCTCCGACATTACCCGTCGCCTGGACCCCGTTGGCACGCACAGCTTCCATGATGTGACATCCTCGTTGCCCGCTCTGTGTGGTATGTGTCGATATAGCTGGTCGGCTTAGCTCAAAGAAGTTGGGTCGACTAAAATTGAATTTTCGGTAATTGAATAGCTTAATTGTTTGTCCATTTTTTGCCCATGTTTGCTCACTTTTTAATTTTTTTTGCCCACCTTTAGTTTTTAAAATATGGAATCTTTGAAAATTTTCGAACATTTTTGAAAACATAAAAGTTGACTTTTTCAAATTTTTTTTTTTTAATCGCAAGAGAATCCTTTGCCCACGTTTGCCCATCTTTTAGAATTTTGAAAATATTTATACTTTTGAAAATATTCGACTTTTAAGTTTTGATCATATTTACTTGCAGAAAAAATTGTTTGCCCACCCCTTAAAAATAGTTTTTTCGAAAAAATAAAAGATGTCCATTTTTGCCCATCTCCTGAAATGTAAGAATTAAAAAAAAAATCGTTTGCCCACCTCTTGAAAATAGTTAATTTTGACAAAAACCTTTGCCGACGGCTTAAACACCGGATTTTTTAACAAAAAACGTTTGCCCACCCCTTAAAAATCGTTTTTTCGAAAAAATAAAAGATGCCCATTTTTGCCCATCTCCTGAAATTTAAGAATTAAAAAAAAAAATCGTATGCCCACCTCTTAAAAATAGCTAATTTTAACAAAAAACGTTTGCCCACCCCTAAAATAAAGAAATTAACAACAAAAAAAATGTAATAGGTTTATTTATTATTATTTATTGCGTCTTTTATTTATTGTAGGCTTAGTTTACTTTAGTTTAGGCTTATTTTATTTTAGTTTTAGCTTTAGTTCACTTTTGTATCCTCTTCTGTTCCGCTCTCATAACCAAGTGATCTCAATGCTCGCAGGCAACTTGCTTTCAACCCCCGTTTTCGCAGAGAGGCGCTCTCTTGAGAGAGTAACATGCTCTCTCGAGAGAGCGTAACTCAAGGAATAGTGTGACCAGAGCATACTTATATTAACTGGCCAGCTACAAAAAGTAGCACTTAAAAATAATACATTAAACATATATTTGTTTATAATATTAATATTATTATTATTCCGTATTCCTGTGAGCCTCTTCGGTCTGTGTGAATAATTATATGGATCTACATTTTTGTACCCAATGCTGTACATTTTTTCCACTGTCTGGACATATCGTTATGGACTTCCCAAGCTCCAGTTATTCTGCGGCAATAGGAAATATAATGTCCGATTTCAGTACCTTACTTTGGGGCGAATTCTATGGCTCCACTTAGGAGGAAGGGCTCGTTTGGCCCTTCAATTAAAATAGAGCCGAAAATTAATAACATCCAGCAGGCCATGGGACAGCCACAAAGTAACATGGAATCTATAATGATTACTTTGCAACAAAATATGATGGAATTTATGTCCTTCATGCAAACCCTTATGCAAAACCAAAATATCTTGTTACAAATGCTTGCAGCTCAGCAGTCCAAATAAACCAAAAAAAATAATAAACAAAAAAATGCCTAGCCTGCGAATAACTCTGTGGAACGCCAACGGTGTTTCACGGCGTAAACCTGAAATAACTCAATTTCTGAACGAAAACCACATCGACGTTATGTTGCTGGCAGAAACGCATCTCACCAGCAAATATAACTTTAAAATACGGGGATACACGTTCTACGGCACCGATCATTCAGATGGTAAAGCGCATGGCGGAACTGGCATCTTAATAAGAGGCCGCGTCAAACACCACTTTCACCAACGGTTTGCAAAAAATCATCTGCAAGCTACTTCGATAAAATTACAGTTGGGCAACTGCAACCTTGCCGCTTTACAGTCTCCGAAGACCAATTTATGGACTTCTACAATTCGCTTCTGAGCGATTCATAGCACCAGGAGATTACAACGCCAAGCACACGCACTGGGGATCTCGCCTTGTGACCCCCAAAGAAAGGCAATTATAAAATGCACTCATTAAAACATGCAACAAACTGGACTACGTTTCACCAGACAGCCCTACAGACTGGCCTACAGATGCTAGAAAACTATTAGATTTAATTGATTTTGCTGTGACAAAAAAAATTTCTCGCAATCTAATATCAGCAAAATCGCTTTTGGATCTATCATCGGACCACTCACCTGTGCTAATAACTCTTCTTCAAAGCCCGGAATTAATCGAGCACCCTCGCAGGCTGACGTCGCATAGAACCAACTGGCTGAAGCTCAAAATGTACGGAAGTTCCCACATTGAACTAACTCCACAGCTCAACATCAAGGAGGACATCGACTGCTATGCCGATGCACTGGAGTCTGTACTCGTCGCACCAGCCAAAGTCTCAACACCGCAAGGGTGGGACGGGCACACGCACCAACACAAAACTAACCTTGAAATCGAACAGCTTGTTTTGGAGAAAAGACGTAAGGCAAGAAGAACTAAAAGCACAACGCCAGTACATTGTGAAACTTTCACCCACCAGCACTAAGCATCCCTTGTGGAGGGCCCACCTAAATCTAGGTGCGCCGGCCGAAACAGTAATTCCCATAAGAGACTCTTCAGGCAGCTGGGCCAGAAGCGACAAAGACAGAGTTTGTACATTTGCTTTACACCTTCGAAATGTTTTCCACCCAAACCCTGCAACAAATTCATTCGCACTACCGTCGCCGTCAATTCGAATCGAATCTGAGACGGAGCCAATTCTGTTTCAACCAAATGAAGTTGCAAAAGTAATCAACGAGCAATTGAAACCAAAAAAGGCCCCAGGCGGTGATCAAATAACTCTCAAAATGTTAATCGAACTTCCAAACTGTGCAGTTAAGGTTATTTGTAAACTCTTTAACGGGATTACACGACTTGGGTATTTTCCAAAAAAATTGGAAAAAATCAGTAATCATAATGATCCCAAAGCCAGGAAAAGATCACACAATACCAGCTTCGTACAGACCGATAACTGCTCGAAAAATGCCTTTTGACGCGCATAATCCCATATCTGAAAGAGCACAACGTTATTCCAGCACACCAATATGGCATTCGAGAAAGCCATGGAACAATAGAGCAGGTCAACAGACTAACAACAGAAATACGGACTGCATTCGAGCTTCGGGAATACGGCAGTGCGGTATTCCTTGACGTTGCACAGGCTTTCGACCGAGTCTGGCTTGATGGCCTTATGCATAAAATCAGAACGATCCTGCCGGGATACACTCACAGGATACTTAAATCGCACCTTTACAACAGAGCCTTCGTCGTGAGATGCAACACTACAACATCCGACGACTACGCTATAGAGGCTGGAGTTCCCCAAGGTAGCGCCCTTGGTCCAACTCTATTTCTCCTCTACACCGCAGATATCCCCACGAACGAGCGGCTAACTACTTCTACATTCGCAGACGATACCGCGATCATAAGTCGGTCCAAATGCCCAATTCAGGCAAAAGCACTACTAGCTGATCATCTCGTTGTAGTGGAGAGGTTCGTTATCAGACTGGGGTATACAAATAAATGCGCAAAAGTGTAAACACATAACGTTTACTCTTAACAGACAAACGTGTCCCCCGCTAACCCTGAA